TTATGAGCAGTGGCGGTTTTACCATTAGGCATAGGTCGGCGGCCGCCTGGGGCCCCCTTGTGTTGGGGGGCCCCCTAGTCCTGACCACCGGTGCCCATCTGTTAATGCCACAATATTCTTATTACCAACCTGTCGCCACCGAAGGGATTGGACATGTGCACTTCTCATTGCCATAATTCCTGAACCGTTCAAGATCTGTAAAGTTCCAAAAGTGCTGAAAAGATTAAAAATGGGGCTTTCCGTGCATTTACAATACATTACAGTAGCCACCGGAATTCCCTGTCTTGAGCGCAACAAATCACAATACAGATTCAGAGACATGCTGAGTTTGTCATCCAAAATGCTGTTTTATAACGTTCGAATGGCTGATCAGATTTTAAAAAATCCAACGGTTCCTAAAGGTACATAAAAGCAGCTTTCCAGTGATCTATAGCATGAAGCAATCAGAGTTATGGAAATCCTGCCATACAGCCTGATTGAAAGGGAGCACAACGGGGAAGCTAGTTAGCATAAAAAGCCGGCATGAAATTATGGAAATGCCGAAAAGAAAATCAACACGATCTATTAGGTGTCCCAGAAGGTTTATATCTGAAAACAGGGACCACGAAGGACAGATCTCCAGTAAGCCAGGGTATGAATGTTTGTTCAGTCTTTTTTATTTTTTTAGTTGAACAACCCTCAACTACTTGCTAATTGTAAGATTCAGCTTCATTCCAGCATTATTTATCTTTTTACACAACACATTCTCACTCCCAGCGCGTCAAAAACAAACACTTGGTCAGCCACCCTCCACGTCAGACCCCTGAGGCCAAAAGTGCCCTTTTTCTTTACGTATGTGCGAAAAGGGGTTTTCCCTTATTTGACTGCAGATCCCAATGCAGCGTTACACTGACGCGATGGGATCTCCGCTGATGCGGCACCAAACCAGCTCATTGTACCTCGCCTTAACCTTATCCTCTTATTTAACCTTATCCTCTTATTTAACCTTCCCCTCACCCCTATCCTAACCTTAACAATCTTGCTAGCGAACACGTTAGTGATGTGTCGATTGCTCTAAAAGCCGGCTCTATGAAGTTAACGGCGGGAGCCGCCTCGTCATTGGTCGAGTTTGGACCGAGCAAATGCGAGGGGGAGGTTTCAACTACCACGGTGGAGGTTAAAAGTAGAGGGTATTTGTAACCTCCCCCTCGCCAGATGGTATGTTCTAACGTTCCACTTGGGTGGCAAATATGAAAATTGACAGTCAGACTCTGACTGTCAGAGTCAGAATGCAGGGGAAACAAACGCTTGATCACAGTGAGAGTAACGTTTTAGGTAGCAAGAGGGTTAAGGTTAGGATGAGGGTGAGGGGAAGGTAGTGCAACGTTAAGGTTTAGGTGCGGTTAAACGAGCTGGTTCGGTGCCGCATCAGCAGATATCTCATCGCGTCAGTTTTACGCTGCATTGGGGTCTGCAGTAACAGAAGGGAAAAAACCCTTTTCGCACATAAGTAACGAAAAAGGGCACTTTTGGCGTCTGGGGTCTGACGTGGAGGGTGGCTGACCAAGCGTTTGTTTTTGATGCGCTGGGAGTGAGAATGTGTTGTTTTACTATAAATAATTATTTTTGCTTAAACAAAAATTTTTGGTATAGCAGTGCACGGTGTGCAAGAGAAGCACCCCATGGCAGTGTGAGGTGTGCAGAGTGGGTCTCTGCCTGCAGCTGGAGAGGAACTGCTTCAAGGTCTGCCACATCAAATAAAAACGTCTCAAAGTTTACAAAAATAAATGGTCTTAAAAACAGCTAAAAAAGATACCAAGGTTCAAACTTTTTTGAGAATAGATGCATTGAAGTTCAAACCCCCTAACTGGTTCTCCACCACACTATTTATAGATCGCCCATGCACAAGCTGATCCAGCGAACGGAGACTTGGACACAAAACAAAGGTCAACGTCTGACATTCAGAAATCGGTCGTATTTGCGTAGGACCTGTTTACAACTTACTGTCGGTTTTTTACCTTCCATTCACCATTCGTTGTATGAAACAGTGATTTTTCTCTGAGGGATGGTTCCTCAAATCTGTTCTTGTTGATGTCATCACACGGTCTTGTTCCTTTTGCACTGTCTGCAGCATATTCGCACAGTGAAGGCATATGTGCTGGAGCTACTTGATCAGTCTTGTTCTGACAGTAGATGTGACCGTTTCAGACAGGAAATCACTGTTGCTATGCATCAAATAGCAATTTTCCTTTTAAGAATGAACCAGTTGAAGCTAAAACGATTCACGAACTTTATTTTTTTAAGTAAACAAAACATCAGGTTGATGTAAAGTCAAAATATTTAAAAAAAACTAAGATGTAGCTGTCTTTCAGGTAAACTGATGTTCAACTTGAGACAAAAGTCTAAATTGCAAGAAGCAGAGGGCTGTTCATATACCTGGCCTTGTACTTAACGTAATGAGTCAAGAAAAAAAACAGAGAAAGTCTAGACGAGCACTAGACGAGGAGAGGTAGCTGGAAATAGAAAGGAGCAACTCGTCTCTATGGAAACCACAGGCGAAAACAGTGGCACACAGCGCTATGAAAGACATGAAGGGGAAGGAGATGAAAGAGAACAAGAGGAGAAATGGAGTGAGAGAGGGAGGCAGAGGTGGGCTGAGACGTGGCACAAATAGGAAGATGGGAGGATGAGGGGGAAGCATGTTGAGCTTATAAGAACGATGTGTGTGTCATAGCAGTAAATATCAGTGCCCTCATCTGGCATTACTGTCGTCGCTTTCTGACGGAAGGGATTTCATTTAACCACGGTTAACACACAGTCTCTTTAGAAGCATCACTGTGATGCAATTATGGGTTATCTCTGATTATAATAGTTATGAATAATTACTCACTTAATTTCATAATGTACGCTTGTTTTATTACAGCTATTAGCACACAATTTAGCTTACATGAGATTGTAGCAGTTAAAGGCCCAGTGTGCAGGCGTGAGTGCCCTCTAGTGGCATGGGCTGCAAACTACAACCAACCAGAAGGCGTGGCTTAAAGTATGGAAGTCAATATTTTTAAAGAAACTGAAGGTAGTTTAAAAAAATAAACATCAGCTTATCTGTTTAGCACACATGATAGGGTGGAAAGTTGATTGCGGTCATTTTCGGTTGAAGATCATGAACTTTGTTTTACTTGTGTTTAAATCAAGATGAAGGTTGAAGACAATTAAAGTTGTGCTGCCAGGGAGACAAAGCTGTGTTCAAGGAAGAACTGCATGCATATAAAATGGTGTTGTCCGCATGCTCCCTTTGTCGCGCCAAGCCGTAATATGCATTCACAGGTCAGGCGTTGTGGCAATATTACTACCAAGCAGATGACCACATATGCCTCAAAAGTCCTGCATCGACATGCCGCCAAGGCGCGTTCATAAAACACACCGTGGCAGCAGTATTATGCTGATTTACCAGTATGGTGTGTCTTCTAAAAAGGGCTCGTCATAGAAAGTCGAAAAAGCAAATATGTCCTTTGTAAAAAAAATTAATTAAAAAACACTTAAGTACCTCTCTCTGCTCATGTATCCAAGAAAAGTTCAAGTCTAAATTGCCAAAATTGATCTCAGTGCCATTTCAAACAAGCAATGCCAGCTTTGTAATTTTTCTCTGTCGCAGCTCTAGCGTTAAGGCCTGTCCAGCAAATGTAGATTGGTAAGACAAAAATCTACATGCCAATGGTAGACCTGCTGAGGCTAATGGCTAATAGGTTTTGCCTGGCTAATTTGATGCTTTAAAACTGAACATGACGTGTTGCTGTTTGAGATCTTTGAACCTACTTCTATTGTTAGACCTGAGGGGAGGCAATAACGCTTGTATCGTCATCATCACTGACAGACTGTGTAGCTTAGGTTAGATATCTGGGAACATTCATGAAGAGTCTCATCTCTGGTTCACGCTGTCGGGTAAAACGTCTAGGAGCCATGACTGACAGATTCAAAAACCAGATGGCTGTCAAACCAAAGAGAGAAACCAGGCAATTCCCGAGTTGACAAGCAGAGAAGGGAACATCTTACAGACAGCAGGTACCAGCTGAATCCACTCAGGGCCAAGTCGGGCTGAATCACATGGAGGAATACGTTCGTCTCAGAGACTTAAGATCTTAAAGTACACGAGGCTCAGATTAATAGGATCTGGTGTTGAAGATTTGCACCGTTAAACGACCAACAGTAATAGTGTGATGTTGTTCTGACCTTAAGGACACCGGATTGCACAAATGAACCTTAATGCGACATGCATTTTGAAGTGTTTTTGTTAGTTAGTTGTTCTGACAGAACTTCCTAAACAGCCTGGTCTAAGAACCAAGACCAGAATGGATTGCAGCCTTCAGTCAGCTCCGATGTCCCACCAACAAAATCTCCGGTCTTAAGACTGCAACGTTACCTTCAATCGGATTCAAATGTAACCAAATTAAACAGCATTTCTAAAATTATAAAATGATAAAAAATGTCACATCACTTCTAAGAAATGTAAACTCTCTCTGGACGTTTAACTTCAGTGATTAGTCAGGTTTGCCATGTGAAGATCGTTTCTTTAAGAGCTGTATGAAGTAAAACTAGAGGACATTTATCTGTGACAGTTAAATAAGCTGTGTACAAACACCATGCAGAACGTCTCAAACTTAAAGAACTTCAGAAAAACGATTTTCTTCAATAAAAAAGAGACAAAATAAATATTTTTGTTTCAGTTTACTGCCATAGTTACTGAGTAAGGGTTATAAGGGTCTCTACCGGATACAGGCACATAGTTGATGTCATCTTTTACTAATTTTTCACTTGAAATTTCAAGTAAAGAATAAAAGAGGAAATTAAGTTGCGGCTTATTAGAAGTCAAGACTGATGCAAGAATGGGGACATCTGCCCAGAATACCCACAGAATGCATAATTAATAGTGATGAATAAAAATCCATCTCCATTACATAATCAGATGTTCACATGGGTTTCCCTACTGAGGACTTCTCTAAACTCCCGTCCTCCTTTCCCAGGTATCACCACGGTGCTGACCATGACCACCCTGAGCACAGTGGCCAGAAACTCTCTTCCCAGAGTGTCTTATGTGACCGCCATGGACCTGTTTGTCACTGTCTGCTTCCTGTTCGTCGTTGCTGCCATGATCGAGTATGCCATGCTCAACTACTACTCCTACATAATGCGCAGACCCCCTCCCAGGATGCAGAGGATGGTAAGATGCTGCTCGATGTCTCTAGGGTTTGGGCGACGTACAAAGTATACACTAGACCTGTCCTATAAGTTCAGGGAAAAGAATAACTTTGGGTCACATTTGGACGAGCCTTTGAATCTGGAAAGGTTTTGTAAGAAGGATGCAGCTCCAGAATTGGGACGCGGCCAAAATGTCCCAAAACACAAAAACTACTTCAAATATGCCGGTGAAGGTCGTCAGTCATCCAGGTCATGGTAATCCAAAGGTAGGGCTGGGCAATAAATAAAAAATGTATCCTCATCAAAATTTGACTCTTATTGGGATAATTATTCTTTTGTCAATAAATCTGATAATAAAAAATGAAAAGATGTGTAGGTTGGCAACATTCATGTCCCTTTAAGAAGCTGTACCACCTTGAGTCACGTAAAAATGTGACTCAACGTAATACATGTGACAGCCCCATCTAGTGGGCACTTTTGTATCTGTGCATACCTGTAGTTGTCGTCCATTTATCGTTATTGAGGCGAAATCCTTAATATATCGTGATATTGATTTTAGGCCATACCGCCCAGCCCTATCCAAAGGGGTTCGAATGAAGCCTACTGAACTTTGTTGGTTTCTTGAAGATGTTTCGCTTCTCATCCAAGGAGCTTTGTCAAGTTTCTTTTTTTGTGAATTGACAAAGCTCCTCGGATAAGAAGCGAAATGTCTTCAAGAAACTGAAGATGTCCAGTTGCCTTCATTCGAACACCTTTGGAACAACTTCAAAGGAGACTGACAGACATCACCGTCTGAAATGAGGAACAAAAATAAAAAAAAGATGAATCAAAACCTCAGGAGGCCATTAATTAGATGGTCTACCAATAATGGCAAAGCAAAACAACAAAGGACCAGTTAGCTTAAAGTCAGCTCCAGCCAACAACTTCTGGTTCCCCCTAAAGTATTACAACACCCAGATATTTTCAAACATCATCCCTCAGACTGATCGATGTAAACCAGATGATCTCCAGTCAGGAAGCATTTCCAGCACTGGAGTCTGATGTGCCTTTCTGAGCACACGTGTGCAGTTAAAAACATTTCCTCTCTAGCCATTGCCCCCGTGCCAGAGCTCGATGTTGTGTGTAGGTGTTCAAGGCTGCACCTGCCGTGAGTGTCTTAATGGCGGCGGCGCAGATCCACTAAAACTGAGTCAGCCACTGCTGCTGTCATCTCTCGCTCCCTCCAGATCCCCTCCCTATTCATTATTTTCTCCTTGTGTGAAGGGGTTCTGCTCAATGTGTCTCAGGGCTAAAGAGACTGTCAGCTCTGGCTGAACAATTAAGCCATGTCACATTCAGCCCGCACCTCTGCATTTCAGCCTCTCGGCTGTATTTTCACTCAGCTTGTCTGTTCAGCTATGTGTGTGAGAGTGTGTGTGTGGGTGTAGGTGGGGGGGTAGCCTCACATCTCCCCCTCATGGCCATCAGTATGCCTCCTGTAGGCTGCCCGCTCACACACCCTCGTCCACAGCTCCTCCATAGAGAGTTTGAAACGTTACCCCCATTAAGCAGTAAATGTTTCCAGCAAGTATTTCCTCTGTAGGAATATGAACGGAGTGCAATGCACACATGTTTAGACGGAAATGTATATGGTTGGGTTGAGCTGACAGAGCAAATTTCTCTCTTCTGAAACAACTCAAGTTTGAGTTAAGATTTACTAGCTGTGACTACCAGTTTCCTGTGTCAAACTGCAAAATGGATTTATAAAAAGTGCGAAAAGTAAAAGGGATATCAAGTTTTTTTTGTCCCCAATACCAGTTTGACTCATTTAATATTCAGTTTTCAGTAAGTAGATCTAGTTCGGTTTCAGTGTGAGATAGGGGCTCAAATTTGCTCCACCAAAGTTGTTTACTTACTTGTTAAGGCACACGTGGCAGCTTTGCTTGCTTTTAGCACCCCCTAGTGTTCATTAAGTGAAACCAAAGGCAAAACCTATCTACTTGCTGTGCATTTGTCTTTTTAACGCCTTAAGCTAACAGCTGAAATGTCTCCCCAGCCTTCTTTAGCTTCATTAGCTTAGTGATTCATCACTAAATAACACAAATCAGCCATGTCCAGGATCTAAAACATGCTGAAAGCAGACTGCAGCGCCAGGTATGACAGCTCCATTTTTTCTCTCACTCTAATAGACCGGACCGGCACTCTGAAGTTGCAAATGCGGTGTTCTGGCCACAGAGGGTGGTGGGGGTGTGAGTGACATTTCATTAACTCTGTAAAGGGTCATTTTAGCACATACTGGTTCAAGGAAATGATTTAAAAATATGGAAACGTAGCAGTGTGGCTTTAAAGGGCATAACTGTATTGTTTCATAATCACTTTTCAAAAGATTGAAATTTTCTATTGAATTCCAGAAAAAGTGCATCTGACTTTATAAATCTAATGAATGCTAATCATTCAAAAATCATATTTGTAAAAAAATATATATATATATCATTTCTCTTGCAACAGCAATGAGTTCCTTTCATTGTTGTAATAGTGTTTTATTAAACATCAGATATACTCATGAAATAGCAGTGAAGAGCGTAAAATGTCACTTACAGCTGAGAAAAGTCAACAAATGCTCAAAAACTTGACATTTACCACTCAGGCTGATTGGTTGTGATCAGATTATCACCATTCTTGTCCAAACAGGAATGGTCTTAGATCACTCATGGTGTTCTGGTTTCTGTTGCAGGCCTACTCGTCCTTGAGCATGAGTCGCACCCCTCGATCCGTGATGCCGATGGGCAACTCTTTGCTCTGGCATGACTATGACGACAACTGCCTGTACGAGTGCTTGGACGGCAAAGACTGCAAGAGCTTCTTCTGCTGCTTTGAAGAGTGCAAAGAGGGCGGTTGGAGGAAAGGACGGATTCACGTCAACATCCGAGAGCTGGATTCCTACTCCCGGGTGTTCTTCCCCACCTCCTTCTTGCTGTTTAACATTGTCTACTGGGTCAGCTACCTCTACCTCTAGTCCCCTTGGGCCGTAATCTCCGAGGTCCCATCAAGACAGCGCAACATTTAGGATACAGACGGTGATTTGAGGTCTTAAGTAGTGGAGGAAATGAGCTGATCAAATTCAAGGTCATGCCTTTTTTGGGGTGACGATAGGAAGGCCTGTGAAAGTTTGACCCTAATGGCCATGCATAGACTAGAACCCCTACAAGGCAACAGCGATGGCCTTAATGGACAGGTCCATTTTGACAAAACAAACTGTGACTCTAAGATGTTCGGGGACAGGGTGGCACAGCTGATTTTTGGTCATTGAAATGGCGACCCACCCATAGTGCCTTCTTTAGAAAGGGTGTGGCAACGACGAGTTCCCTCCATTATCTTAATTACCTCATCCTTCACAAAGCCACATGCTGAGCTGTTTGTCCTCCGACAACCAGGACTTCACTTTTCACCAACTGGACACTTTTTTTAAACGTATTTATTTTGTACTACACTAGTTTTAGTTGTACTCTGGAATGTTATCTTCCTATTATTAGAATTTGTTGTGATTTCATTGCTTTACGGCAAGGGTGCTCAACACGTCGATCATGACAGGCCTGTCAATCACAAAGGTAGTGCTAGAAGATTGCGTCTAGTCATATAACAAAAGACAACAAATGCTGAAAAAAATAACCCTATCGTTCCAGCCTCTTCGTACTCTTTCACTTCCTCCCTGCACAGTTCCAATTTACACTCGCCTCCATTATCGTAACAACAAACTGACTGACGGCTCCACAAGCCAACAGAACACGGGTTGCATTCAAGTTCATCAGGAAGACTTCAAAACACCTAAATATTTAAACACAAAGAAATAGAACATTACGTCCAACATGGATGGTGTTGCAATAATCTAGCAAATTTTTTTTGGCATTTGCTGCTCAACTGATGTAGTATTCAGCCAATCTGTCACTCAGAACTTTGTTACCTTATGTAACCATAACAACTACTCCTATCTAAATTCACAGAGAACCATGCAGGGAATGTTAATGCATCGTAAGCTCAAGAAGAGCCATAGAAGATAAAGGCGCTGTAGCAACATAGGCTCATTAGCCTCTCAAGCTTAAAAGTGTTATACAGATGTGGACAAATTTGTTGGAACCTACGGTAAACAGAGGAGAAACCCAAAATGTTCACAGAAATAACTTGAATCTGACTAAATCTATCCATCCATGTTCTTCCGCATATCTGGAGTCAGGTCATGGGGGCAGCAGCCGAAGTCGAGAGGCTCAGAGTTCCCTCTCCCCAGCCACTTGGGCCAGCTTTTCTGGGAGAATCCCAAGGTGTTCCCTGGCCAGGTGAGAGACATATGGGCCATTCCCATCTGTACCGGGTCGGCCGGGCCGGGTAGCCCCAGTCAGCCCCAGCCTGGCCCGGTTGATTCCACACATCCTTGCCTTAAGCCCATGTGGGCTGATTCTACCCACCAATCAGAGGCTTGCTCTAATGGAAGGTGTGAATTTGCTGTCAGCAGTGGGTGTGTTGGCCCTGGTCGGCCTGAAGCAGACCCCCTCGAGAAGAGGGCTGAGAATGAGCCTTGGTTGGCCCGGAAAAATACCAGGCCACCCAGATATGTAAACAACCTACGCTACCCGGCCCGACCCGGTACAGATGGGAATGGCCCAATAGTCCCTCCAATGTGTCCTGGGTCTCCCTTTAGGCCTCCGCCCAGTTGGACGTGCCCAGAAAACCTCACCAGGAGGCATCTTAGCCAGATCTCCTAGCCACCTCAACTGGCTCCTCTCGATGTGACTAAAACAATAAATAAAAATATGTATTAAATTTGACCAATGAAAGTCAGACATTGCATTTCAACTATGCTTCAATGGAATTATTAACTCATTCGCTGCCAGCCGTTTCCTGATCGCTAAAGCCCTTCGCTGCCAGCGTTTCTCACCGTTTTTACTGTTTTTTAAGAGTCACAGAACGTTGCACGCTAGGATGATGTTGACGCCAAAACAAAGTGGAGACTCACCTCTTACATCAGGAAGAATCCGCGCGTTTCGAGCATTATCCTTTCTTTCATAATCCATTGTTGAATTGTGATCGGCAGAAGCTTTTCCGGTCCGCGTCTCACTTTTTTTTTACAGGAACGGCCCAAAACGATCTCCTAACACATGGATGTTCTGCTTCCTGATCCTGGCAGCCGTGACATCACGTGACGTGTGACGTATGCGGATGAAGATCGGCTTCAGAGCTTAGATGTTTGTTCTCTCAGCGCGGGGGCTCGTTCCGATGCCCAAACAGTAAAAAAAATGCAAGTCGTCATTGGCAGTGAACGGTTGGATTTAAAATGACGACTTTAGTCGTCAATGGCAGTGAATGAGTTAAAAAAAATAAACTCATGAAATCCCTAATGTAATATTTTTTTTTTGCACAACCTTTTGAGGCTACACTGCTATCAAACGATTCCTGTAACTGTCAATAAGACTTCTGCACCTCTCCGCAGGTATTTTGGCCTGCTCCTCATGAGCAAACTGCTCCAGTTGTTTCAGGTTTGAAGGGTGCCTTTTCCAGACGGCATGTTTCAGCTCCTTCCAAAGATGCTCAATAGGAATGAGGTCAGGACTCATAGAAGGCCACTTTAGAATAGTACATAGCCGTTCTAGGGTGTTCTAGCTGTGTGTTTTGGGTCATTGTCCTGTTGCAATACCCATGACCTGTGACTGAGACCAAGCTTTCTGAAACTGGCCAGCACACTACTCTCTAGAATCTCTTGATAATCTCAAGACATATTCAAGACAACCTGTGCCAGATACAGCAAAGCAGCCCCAGAACACAACAGAGCCTCCTCCATGTTTCACAGTAGGGACACTGTTCTTTTCTTGATATGCTTCATTTTTCTGACTGTGAACATAGAGCTTATGTGCCTTGGCAAAAAGTTCCAATTTTGTCTCATCTGTCCATAGGACATTCTCTCAGAAGATTTGTGGCTTGTCAACATGTATTAGGTTATTGTTTTTTCATGAGAAAGGTTGTTTTACCTTTTTTTTTACGCTGCCATTAGTGGCTAGCTTCACTTCCTTCTCCGCCATTAGCGGCTAGCTCTGAAGAAGACCGCAGGAGTGGTCAAAACTGTCCGCAAAAAAAGGTGAAACAACCTTTTCCTACAATGCAATCAGAAGAAACACACAGTTGGAAAACACAAAAGACTGTCAACATGTAGTTTGGCATGTTCCGGTCTGGCTTATTTATGACTTGCTTTCAACAATGGTGTCCTACTTGGTCGTCTCCTCTGTAGTCCACTTTTAAACAACGACAGATGGTGTGATCTGACACCGATGTTCCTTGAGCTTAAAGTTCTTATTGGATCTCTTTAGAAGTTTTTCTGGGCTCTTTTGTTACCATTGGGATTACAGGTGCTGGCCAGTAAATTAGAATATCATCAAAAGGTTGAAAATATTTCAGTAATTCCATTCAAAATGTGAAACTTGTACATTATATTCATGCAATGCACACAGACCAATGTATTTCCAATGTTCATTACATTTAAATTTGATATTCATAAGTGACAACTAATGAAAACTCCAAATTTGGTATCTCAAAAAATTAGAATATTCTGAAAAGGCTGAATATAGAAGACACCTGCTGCCACTCTAATCAGCTGATTTACTCAAAACACCTGCAAAGGCCTTTAAAAGGTCCCTCAGTCTTGTTTTGAAGGCACCACAATCATGGGGAAGACTTCTGACTTAACAGCTGTCCAAAAGACAATCATTGACACCTTGCACAAGGAGGGCAAGACACAAAAGGTGATTGCTAAAGAAGCTGGCTGTTCGCAGAGCTCTGTGTCCAAGCACATTAACAGACAGGCGAAGGGACGGAAAAAATGTCGTAGAAAAAAGTGTACAAGCTCTAGGGATAACCGCACCCTGCAGAGAATTGTGACGACAAACCCATTCACAAATGTGGGGGAGATCCACAAAGAGTGGACTGCAGCTGGAGTCAGCGCTTCAAGAACCACCACGAGGAGACTCATGAAAGACATGGGATTCAGGTGTCGCATTCCGTGTGTCAAGCCACTCTTGAACATGAAACAGCACAAGAAGCGTCTCGCCTGGGCCAAGGACAAAAAGGACTGGACTGATGCTGAGTGGTCCAAAGTTATGTTTTCTGATGAAAGCAAGTTCTGCATTTCCTTTGGAAATCAAGGACCCAGAGTCTGGAGGAAGAGCGGAGAAGCACAGAATCCACGTTGCATGAGGTCCAGTGTAAAGTTTCCACCGTCAGTGATGGTGTGGGGTGCCATGTCATCTGCCGGTGTTGGCCCACTCTGTTTCCTGAGGTCCAGGGTCAATGCAGCCGTCTACCAGGAAGTTTTAGAGCACTTCATGCTTCCTGCTGCTGACCAACTTTATGGGGATGCAGACTTCACCTTTCAACAGGACTTGGCACCTGCACACAGTGCCAAAACCACCAGCACCTGGTTCAAGGACCATGGTATCCCTGTCCTTGATTGGCCAGCAAACTCGCCTGACCTTAACCCCATAGAAAATCTATGGGGTATTGTGAAGCGGAGGATGCAATACGCTAGACCCAACAATGCAGAGGAGCTGAAGACGACTATCAGAGCAACCTGGGCTCTCATAACACCTGAGCAGTGCCACAGACTGATCGAGTCCATGCCACGCCGCATTACTGCAGTTATTGAGGCAAAAGGAGCCCCGACTAAGTATTGAGTGCTATACATGCACATTCTTTTCATGTTCATTCTTTTCAGTTGGCCAACATTAGAGAAACAAACATTTTTTCATTGGCCTTTAGAATATTCTAATTTTCTGAGATACCAGATTTGATGTTTTCATTGGTTGTCACCTATAAATATCAAAATTAAACGTAATAAACATCGGAAATACATTGGTCTGTGTGCATTGCATGAATATAATGTACAAGTTTCACGTTTTGAATGGAATTACTGAAATATTTTCAACCTTTTGATGATATTCTAATTTACTGGCCAGCACCTGTATCTGTCTCTGATTTGTTATCAATTT